ATTCTTATGTTATTAATATCTACTAGAAGGCATCTTATGAGTCGGCTTTTACGATTTCTGTTATGATTAAGTTACTTCTACTTGCTCTCAAATCTTCTGGGCTAGTAAGTGGCCGTAACGGTCATTTATTCTGATGACTTGTGAATTCGCAGAACTGTTATTCGCAGAACTGTTCGCGGAACTGTTATTTTTAAAAATATAAAACTTTTACTAGGATGTATTAACTAGTTAATCGGGCAATATTTTACGCGTAACTTACATTTCTATCTAAAATAACTTGATATAATAACATAAACAGAGTAAGCACTTATAGCCTAATGGTTAAGATCGGGCAGCTGAATGAAAGATTACGAATTCGATCCTCGTTAAGTGCGATTTATCTTTTTATGAACCTAGTATGAAAATCTTATCTGATTCTTATAAGACATTTACGACTGTCGATGGAAAATCTTAAACAATCTTATATAAGATGATTGATTAATTCGTGGCTTATCGTCACATAAATTTTCAATTGTGCTCACACAAAATGACACGGCCAAATTCAGATTGCCTTTCTTTTCGTCGATGAGAGCAAGTTGAAAGTAACAGCAGGCAACTACCGAGTTGTATTTGTATTCTAGAGGATATATAACGGCAGCTTTTTTAAGACATTCACAGCGTAGATCATCGTCTGCAAATCTCGCATACGCTTCGGCTATTTTCGCATTACAGTTTGAGAGGTAGATCGAGGAAAAATCCAAGAAGTTTTTGCATTGTGGTTTATTTGTGTCACCGTGACAACTGTTAACTATACGCCAGTATAATATGTTTCTAATGTCGATACTTTCAATTGGCTGCCGATTAAACTTTTGTATAGGTCTAATGCAGTTTCAAAATTATTGTGCATTTTGTACACAACCCAAGCAAAACCTCTCTAGCAGAAATATCTAGATGCCTTTGCTGGTGCATCGACCGATTTTTTTTACTCATTTAGCTAGATGCAACTGCTGGAGCATCGGGTTATCTAGATGCATCGCTCGATGCACTTCTAGATACATCGATCAGTGTATCGCACAAATGTCGCCAGATATCGGTGAAATGAGGCATTCACCTTTTTATTTTGCGGATTACAGTCGATGCATCGAGCGATGCAGCTAGATAAGTCGATGCTCCAGCAGCAGCATCTAGCTAAATGAGTAAAAAAAATCTAGTTATCTAGCTGCATCCAGTAACTTTCCCAGCAGAAAAAAAAGCGATGCAGGGTCGTTTTTTTTAGCTTGGGAAGCAATATTGTAAACAGGTATATGACGAAAATTTGTTTCATGAGCAAACTGATCGACACGAAATCGATTGTATCGTAGAGCCTCATTGTAATAGGCTAAGGTCAGTTGATAATTTCCTGAATAACAATAAATACGTCATAACATAACAATAAATGATTGTTTAACTCTAAATCATTCAGAATGAGCTTGTAATACAGTTCAGCGTTCTCTAGGCTGCATTTAAGGTATAATTGTCCACTCAGCTCGCCTGTTCTAAGAATTTGAACTAGAATCGGACTACTCGTATTACTGAAGCCGATCGTTCCATGGAATTGTTCATAATCGTCACTAGTCAGTTCAATTTGCATTATCCAAATGCCTTAAGATGGTGATACCACTCTTCCTACAAATTACAGACCCATCACGCTCCTTCCTACGATGTCTAAGATCCACGAAAGGTTAGTTTATAATAAGCTTTATAGACATCTGAAAAAACATTGCTTGCTAACACACAAAGATTTTAAATTTGAATTTCCCCACTAGTTCATTACTTCTTTGTTATTATTACCACTCTTTTCTCCTTTCTCTCTCTCTTTACTTCTTTAGTTGTCTTTCCTTTGTCTTTTTTTTTTTTGTTGGCGTTATGTATCGTTCTTATCATGTACTCTTGTCCTGTCTTTTGTCCTCAGTCAATATGTAAAGATGTAATAGGTTCGCCTCCTTCTTTTCATTATTTGTACTGAAGCTTTTCACACTTCCTTCTCTCAAATAAAAGTTTATAACAACATTGTTTACATCTCACTGGAGAAGGAAATGCAAGTACTTTAAAGACTGAAATTTCTGGATTGAAATATTATTATTAAAAAGTGCCTTCTGTTGGATTTTTTCGCGGTGTTCAATTAAAGCAAGACAACAAGAAAAGAGAAGTGAAGTAAAGTATTAAGAAAAATGAAGAAAATGAACACAATGTGTATACACATTGTGGAATGTGATACAATATATTGTATCACATTCCACAGTCAAACTGCTTCTGACTAACCCTCTTCAGATTCGAGGAAACATTTGAATTCTGTCATTGTCGGAGTCAGACACGTATAAATTGCCTTGACTATCCAATGCCAAATTAAGTGGACTGTTCAACTCAGTATCGCCACTTCCCTTTCCTCCTACGCCAGCAATTATCGCTCCCATTCGACTGCCGAGTTGAAAACGAAGGATTCGATGATTTAAAGTATCAGCAACTAGAAAAGCACCATCCGATTGAGTGTCGACAATTGCATCGCTCGGAAGGTGTAACCGATCCAGTCCAGTGCCACTTCCGTCTCCTCCCGCAACAATTTCGCCATTGTTGGCATTTTTATGCCATTTGACGACACAATGATTCCCCCAGTTGGCGATGTACAAAAATCCTTCATGATCGATTGAAATGCTATGAGCTAATAGAAGAAGATAGGAAGGAAGGGCTAACTGTGAATAGTTTACTTACGCCATCGAAGTTTGTCAAGTATACATCCTGTTCCACTAATAATCAGTTTCTTCTCGTTTCCATCCTTTGTGTAGCGAATTATGCAATTCTCGTTGTAATGTGATACATAGAGATATTCTTCTCTCTCATCCAACGTAATTCCCACCAGAAGTGAAGAAGAAGAGGAAATGATTGTCTCACCAGAGGCAGCACCTATTGGCTATCTCGTAACACGACATGTCCTCTGGTATTCGCCATCAGCAATGTACATCGTTCTTTCTCTGTCGACAGTGATCGAGGTTGGGTAGAGGAGTTGTCCCTTTTCCTTTCCAGCTGCGATCATCCCGCATCTGGTTTGCCCTTGTCCACTTTCAACACACGATGGTTCATATAGTCACAAATGTAAAGCGTATCATTTCCATCGATGAATATTCGTTTTGGATCATTGAGTTGATCTAGACGTGTTCCTTTTCTTCCTTGTCCTGCCACTGTCAAACCCCTATCAGACCATTTGGCCATTGTTATACCCTGTTTACTCGTCTTACAAAGAAGAAAAGAACATTCTGACACTTATTTCTTGACAGTTAATTTTCTTTCAAACAATAATCTTTAATTTTTTATCCGAGC